CCTCACTGAGGGACAGCCCACCTCACTGAGTGTCAGTCCACCACCTCACTGAGGGACAGCACACCTCACTGAGGGACAGCCCACCTCACTGAGGGTCAGTCTACCGCCTCACTGAGGGACAGCCCACCTCACTGAGGGACAGCCCACCACCTCACTGAGGGTCTTCTGTGCTGACCGTTTACTTTACCAAGCATGACATACTTCTCCCGAGACTGGCCAATCCTGATCAGATGCTCAAAGTGCGTGAGATGAAGTCTCACTGTTCTTGCTTCTAAAGGAGTGGACCCTTTAAGAACCGAGGGGCTTGAGAACGTGGACCCTGGAGAGGAGGTTCAGTCTGTTATTTGTGTAGATGCAAAGGCAGCCCTGGTGGGAGGGGGCTGCCCAGAGTCACAGTTCTCGGTACCAGAGCTTGTACACTCTCCACACCTGGGACACCTCATCCTGACCTTGACCCACTGACCAGGCTCAAGCGGCAGCCTGAACAGCAGTGATGAAAGGACCTTCATCCCTCCTCTCCCCTCTCACCCGCCTCACCTCCCACCTCTCACCCCTCCCCCCTCCCTCTCTGTGTGGATCTATCTTGATGGCTCTTGTATTTTGATAGAAGACTTGAGTTAGTAAAGTTGTGATATGAATGGAAATCCCTCATCTCCTAGCTTCCCGAAGCACAGTCCACCCCATTCACTTGGCGATAATGATAAACCTTAAAAAAGGAGGGATCGTCTAGCTGCCTGGTTTGTGGGGGGTCCTCTCGGTGCATCTGCACCCCATGGCACCTTCCCCTCATTTGGGTCACTCAGGGGTAAGCAGTGAAGGGTCTTCTCCACCATAACTTTTAGAGTCTGTACAATTGCTCAGGCAGCCTCCAGCCTTCTGCATGACAACAGTGTGTGTCCGGAGCTGGCATTAACCTGGTTGGTTAAGGCATTCGGCAGGTGATGGGCTGGTGTTCTCAGTGTGGACGCACAGGTGATGCCAAGTCCTGACGGAGGCACCATTGTGCCTGGGGAGCCCGGGGCCGTTGTGTTTGTCTTAGGTTTGTGCTGTCTTGCCTCTGATTCACCATGCTGTCATCTCTCTTTCTCTCTCTCTCTCATCTCTCCTGTCCCCATCCTCACAGTCCCAGGCTGACGTGGAGCTGGGGGCTGCCTTCGCCTGGGTGAGAGGGGCTGAGAAGCCTGCATGTGTGGTTGCTAACCCCCTTGTGTGACAGATAACAGCTAACCTAACAGCATCGCTCTTTGCACTTATCTGATGTGTGTTTTTCTAAAATGCTGGGCACATCTTCATTCACAATACAGATAAGCCGCCTGGGTGTTCACCTTGGAGGCTGTGTGGGTGGGCAGGAAGGCTCACCCTCTTCACAGACTCCAGCCTCCACAGAAGGTTCTGGAATAACCATGTGCACACGCCCACTCACCTGGTGGCTTCAGGGCACTGACCCTTAGCCCTGCTCATTGCTTGCAGCTGTGGCTAGAGAGATGAACAAGATAAAGTCTTGCTTCCAAGGAATAAAATCAGATGAAGAATTCCAAACACATTAGCCATTGTTTCTTTGAGGAAGAAAGCAAAGTTGTTTTGCTTGGTGGCAGGTCCCTCCTTTCCTCCAGCCCAGTCCATTCAGTGTGCTCATTGGCAGATGCCAGTTACAGACCAGACCTGAAGGCCTTAGGTCGAGATGCTGCAATCTCTCCTTTCTATCTCACGAGGAAAGTCTCCAGACCTCACGCTTGGTGAATCTCTGCAAAGTTAAAGTCTAAGAAGAACAGCGTGATCTGAAGACAGCACAGGAGAGGACAGGATTCAGGTCTGTTGTCCATGGGGCCTCTATGAGTTGTACTCAGTGGCCCCTAACAACGCCCAGGAAGTGGAGTTTGGTATTAAAGGAACTCGACGCTGAAGTAACGGTGTTATAATTGAGCCCTGCAAGTTGGTCTCCCATAGTGACCGTATACAACAGGGCTGAACCCTGCCCGGCCCTGCACTGAGCTCACAGGCTCTGCTGTGCTGGGGCCACTGCTGCAGCCACTGCGCCACTCCAGCTCCTTGAGAGGCTCTGCTGCTCTCCACCTTACCAGGCACGGTGTCCTCCGGGCACCGACCCCATCACACAGTCTCCCCATCCTTGCTTCCAAGGAACATTCTGGCTGCATTTCTTCCAAGACAGATTTGTCATTATAACACCAGAAAGTATCTTCAAATTAAGGACTTTGCTCAAAAATATTTTGTGCTTCATTATTCCATTTCTTTTAAAATGTGTTCAGTAAGTTTGTGTGGCAAGTGCCCTCTCCCCCTGAAGGCGATGGTGCGGGGCCTTCCTTGTGATAGTGACGGCATGCTCAGTCCTCTTGGGTCACTAGTGGGGCTGCTGCACCCACACACAAATGGGAACCCCAGAAGCCGAGGCTGAGGCCTGGCTGAGAGATAGACACGCTGGCAGGTGAAGCTGTCTCAGCCTGGCGAGGTTCAGACGAGCCATCGAGAGATGGAAGAACGGAGACCTGTGACCAGATTCAGCAAGTGTTCCTCATCCAACATCACCGTCATTCATACGCACGCAGCATTTGAGCAGTCACACTGACGCAGAAGGGCCTTGTCGGGACAAGGTGGACTGACAGTGACTGCAGCAGTGAGCTCACGCCCAGCAGTGGCTGTGGGACCCCACTTGAGGTTTCCTTTCTCTTGTATGTGGGGCTGCTGTGAGTCGGAACTGATTCAATGGCCCCACATAACAAACTCTAGCAGCTCTCCTCTTCTTTCAAATCATTAAATTTATTAGCAACACCCTTCTAGATTCTTTACCTTTCGTCTTAAGCTCAGCATCAGTCGTGTTTCAGTCTTGTTCTGCGTAGAATGACTGTATTTCTTGTATAGCCATGACGACAGACATTTTCTGGTTAGTGTACATTTTTTTTAATGTCTCTTTTTTTAAAAAAAATCGTTATTCTGTTTTAAGATGAAATTGACTCCCTGCCCAGTGTAGCCTGTCAGTGCTTCTCCGTAGCCTGAGGTCAAAAAAAGATGAAATGGGGTACGTCGGGTGTTGAATCACTCTGAGCTTATTAACTCTTCCCTATCAAAACCCACTTCTCTGGTTCCCCACCTCTACTATCTGTTAAAAGCAGTTCCACTTTTTATGTGTGTGGTCGTGGTGGTGTTAGGTGCCGTAGAGTCAAGTGTGAGTTCTAGTGACCCTGTGAACAGATCTTAACCCTGTTCTGTCCTGTCCGTCCATGCACTCCCTGACACACCAGAGCCCATTGTGCCACTCAGTGCATCACTTTGATTGCCTTCCAGTGTGATCTCTGCCTCTAATACTCTAACTCTCTGTATTCCTCTACTGTTCATAGTGTTTTCAGAAGCCTGCTGTGTAAGAACTGGATGGCCAACCCTTCTTCCTAGTCTGTCCTAATCTAGGAGCTCTCCTAAAACCTGTCACCATGGATGACTCTTGTGGCATTTGACACATTTGTGGCATCGCTTTCAGCCTCACAGCAACCCACAAGTTACCTCAGTAAAGCAAACTGACAGACAGTGCTGTGCCGGTTAGAGGTTGATGTGTGTAGACAGATTTCATGTGACTGTTCTGAGATGATAATGGTTTCTGTGTGTCGTCACTCATGGGATCAGGGCTGCCTGACTATGCGCCTCTGGGAGGGCTGGTTTGGGAAGGAAGTTTATTTGAGCATGTCACCTGTGAATATTTCCTGGCTCTCGGTGGTATTTCTCAGTGTTGTTCTACACATGACACACCTTGGACGCTTGTCAAAACGCATGTGCCCTGTGCACCTTAACATGCCCAGGTCCTCTGGGTTCCTGGTCGGGGAGCCAGCCGTGAGCCCCGGGTTCTGCAGCCCACCCACTGAGAAATGCTGTCGTGTAGCCAGGAGAGCATGTTGCATGCGTACCGTTTAATGTGCACAGTAAGGGTTGCTGAGAAAAACCGGGTGTGAAGCTAGGTGTCCTCAGAGAGCTGTCTCAGGCGGTGTTGGTGGGTGGGTGATGGGTGTTTCGCTCTGGTATTATTCATTTCCAACTCTCCTTCCTGTTACACCATATAAAGACGCCTCCACCCATCCAAACCCAACACATAAAATGTTTTGTAAGAGAACAAAGTTGACAGTGTTTATGAAGGTCAGTGAGAGGCCATGGTTTCAAGACCACGTTTTCTAGAAAGCTCTTCCCTGTGTGGAATTCCATTCCAACCGAGCAGGGTAGATGTGCCACGAAGCTTGTGGAGTGGCTTTTCCTGTTCCGTGGAGGCGAGCAAAGGAATGACGCCCAGTGAGGGCTGCCTCTTCCTTCCCTCTGTCCTCTGCTGACCGACCGTCTCAGACTTCAAGAGGGCTCGGCCAGGGTGCCTTGGACACTCGTTTGACTCTCATTCCATCCTCACAGTGGCCTTTGAAAGCACCAATGACTTCTTCCAAAGTAGATACCTGCTGTTGAAAGTTCAAGTGCAATCAGTGACTGGCTCCAGGTCATGTGACAGGCTGGAATTAGACCTCATCCATGACTCCAGAGACCTGCTTCCACCTGGTCCCCTGCTCGTCCACTCTGCCCGTGCCCATCTGGAGATCTGATTGCATCTCTGGTGCTTAACCACTTGTGTTAGGAATCATCAGAAGTGTCTGGGTGGATGAACTAGAGAGCTTTGGGGAACCCCCACATTGGCATAGCGGGGACATGGTCTGGGGCTGAGGAGAGAAGAGAGGTGGACACGTACACAGACACATACCGCTGGTGCTTTCCTGTTCTAAAGAACAGAGAATTGAGTCATTAAAGATGTGCTCACATCTCATTTTCAAAGACAAAGGAAGTAGGAAGACTAGATGACTAATACCACTACGGTAATTCTGTTTGTGGACTAATTAAATCCTGTTTAGAGAAAATACTGCAGAAGACAAAGCCTGTGATTAGCCTTCTTCCAGTATAAATATTTATATTCTTCTTCCAGTATAAACATTTATATTGAATTATGGATTGAGCAGGGACTGGTTCTGAATCTTTAGAATTCACATTCCTCATGGGCAGTGATCACCACAGACCTACCAAGAACTGAGAACTGGAAGGTCGTCAGCTGAGGCTACTAGGCTTACACCCATCGCACCAGGTATGTCGCCCCGACTTCTGGTCAGCTGGCACACGGGCATCACACAGAGCCGGGGGCAGGACAGCAGCTTGGGGCAGCCCAGAGAGAGCCACACTTCCACCTGGTGTCAGCTATATAGCCGTCACTGGCAGCTTGCAGCCACCAGGATTTGCACAAGGCTCTTGGGGACACCATGGCTGACGAATAAGGTTCGTGGTTTGACCCAGCAGAAGAAAAGACCTGGAGACCTGTGTCTGCACATCTGACGGTCAAGAACGTGCTGTGAGGCCTCTCTGCTGTGTAGCATGCAGGGCCGCCCTGAGCCAGAATCTCCTGTGCAGCTAACGACAGGATTTGCACGGCCCAGCTGCTGTCTGAAGCCCTGCTGGTGCTCTGGGTAAAATGGTTGGCCACTGGCCGCTGTACAGGAGAGGGACATGGCCATCTGCCTGTGAGGGTGATGGCCTTGGGACCCCGTGGGGCAGTTCGCCTCTGTCCTCCAGGGTCACCGTGGGGTAGCAGTGGTCTTAGCTCTGCCAAGAATATTCTGTGTGTTCTCTGCCCTCCTCCCTGGTCTCTCTCTCCCTGTGCCGTCCTGCGTGCTGACGACCTCTCTTCTCTCCTTCATTGAAACAGACAAATGGTTACGATGGTGAGTTCTGTGGATCGCAGCCCCTGAGCCGAAGATCTGGCAGGGTCAGTACGGGGCTTTTCCTGGCACAAAATCAGATGGTGCAGTGCTTTATAAAGCAGTAGAGATGTTGTTGCTTTGCTTTGTTCCCTGTGTTATTGGTGATCTCTCTCTGTCTCTCTCTGACTCTGTGTGTGTGTGTGTCTGTTAGGCGTTCATGTGAGAGAGCGATAGAGATAATCTCTAAGTTTAAAAAGAAAAGATCAAGAACAACCGAGGAACTCTTTGATCACTCTGTTGCCCTAAGTGGACGTGTTCAAGGAGTCCTGCCTGCAGTGGTTAAACACTGACTAACAGTTGGTCGTTCAACTCCACCAGCCGCTTCTGAAACAGTGACAGCCTGGAAAACTTGTGGGACAGCTCTGCTCGACAGGGTCACTGCGGTCACAATCTGGTGTGGGGTTATTTGCTCAAGAAGGCATGTCAGTTTACCCTGGTGATGCAAATAGTGTGAGCACAAGTGCTAATCAAAGCGAAGCCTCAGTGGTTTGGACCCACCCAGCAGCCCCACTGGGGCTGGGACTCTGCTTCTGGGAAGACTTGAGGCCAAGAGGGCCCAGAGCCACTTAGGACTCTGCTGTGACGCACAGGGTGCCACTGAGCCCGCAGCAGCTGGCTCTGCCTTGTTTGGGGTTTGTGCTTTTAAAAGCAGGTATGCAGTGAAGCAGACTCCACCCAGGCAGCTGTGGGCACTGTGGGCTGAGAGTCACCCAGTAATCACCAGTACCTGCCAATAACCTGCTGTCTGGTTTGTACCTGCTAACGGCCATCCTTGTCAGATTTCTGAGGCATTGACCTTTCCGGGATGTGACTGTTCACCTTCCTCTCTTGTGTCTGGTGGCTTTGAACCACCAACCTTTCTGTCAGCATCTCTACACATAACACACTAGCAGAGGTGTGAGATAGTAAGGGCAGCCCTGGGCAGGCCACATGGCATCGCGGAGATGGAGATGAACGGCAGTGTGGTGGGCTTCGCTGTCCGGGGCGGAGACACAGGGTTCCCACAGGGCTAATGCCCGTGGGGTTCTGCTGCCTCGCCGCATTGTCCAGGAACTGCGTTTTGAGTGGGCAGTGGTGCTTGTGGAGACATGAGTGCCTGCCACTTACATGTGTCTTCTTCTCTGGTGCCCAGAATTCCAGCTTCAGCGGTGACGGCCGAGTGTCCACTTTGTCATCTTCCAGGGACGAGAAGCTGGTTGGTCCCCATTTCTGTCTTTGATGCTCTGTCTTCAGCAACGGCAGGTCCTGTAGCGTGCGTGTGTGTGTGTGTGTGTGTGTGTGTGTGTGTGTGTACGAGACAGTGTGTGTATGTGTGAGAGTGTGTGCGATAGTTTGTGTGCGCATGTGATAGTGTGTGAGTGAGAGAGTGTATGTGTCAGAGTGTGTGTGTGCTCATGAGAGTATGAGCGTGTGTGTGTATGCGTGAGACTGTGTGTGTGAGAGCGCATGTGTGTGAGTGTCTATGTATGAGATTGTGTGCACGCATGTGGTAGTACGTGTGTGAGTGTATATGTCAGAGTGTGTGTGTGTTTCTTGACTTTTGTCTCTCTTTTCCACCCATCTCTCTTCCACCTGTTCTTTTGACCCCATCACTCGTTCTCATTGTGGGCAGTGATGACCACGCATCGTCCCGCTCACGCTGGCTCCCCTCTCCGACTGTGTAGCCGGGGTGTGAGTTGGAGTGTTCAGCCACGCCTGTGAAAGCATGTATCTTTGTGGGTACAGTCATCAGAGTTCAAATAAGAAAGCCTTACACTTCTTCCCTTGTGGAAACAAGTACTTGGGAGGCAAATGAAGGTCTGGGGCATTTTCTCAGGGAGGAGGACTAAAATTGGCGTGAGAATCAAGTCAGATCAAAATCCATAATATCTCTCAAATGCCATTTCCTCCTGTGGCCAAGGGCAGCTTTTCTGCGTAATGGGAAGGCTCTGGGGCTGGTACTGCTGCCTGGCACCCTGGCGAGGGCTCAGCTCCTCCCGCAGACAGGGAGCTCGTCTCCATGGCAACAGGCAGGGGTGAATTACCCGCAGAGCAAGGTGAGCACGCTCTCATTTGTCAGCCGCAGTGAGAAACATGCGATGCTCGTCAGCAGCAGTGACTCAGGAAGCCCCCCGCCAGCTCGGGTGTGCCTGGCATACTGGTCCCTCGTTTTCATTTGGACAGATAATTTGTTTCATTTTGCTGCAGTGATGAACATGAATCATCTCAATTGTACTGTTCTGCTGTACGAACATGCCAACTTGTGGGTGAACTGCCAGAGTTTCTGGGTGCAGAGGCAACTTGGATTCTTGGATTCATAGGCTCTGAGGAGTTGGGAGGGGTGCCAGCCAGACCACAAAACAGAACCTGGGACATGGTGAGGAAAAAACAAGCAATTGTTCACTGTGATAAGCACAAGGAAGCCTGTGCTTACCCTAGCTGGACTGCTACCCAAAGGCCAGTGGTTCGATTCCCTCAGCCACTTCCTGGGAGAAGGATGGGCAGTCAGGCTCCTCTTGTATGGATTTACAGCCTCAGTGACCTGCGGGAGGGTGGCGTGGAGCTGAGCGGCCACAGCTGGACAGCAGGGAATCACTTGCTAACTGATGTCCATCCCTGTTGGGATGGCCAGTTTGCAAAGAGGCTCTGCTGCCGTAGCAAGGGCTGCAGGCTGAGAGAAACAGATACCGGCCAGGCCTAGAAGTGGAATCATTGATGGGACGGGGCAGGGGTGTGTGTGTGTGTGTGTGTGTGTGTGTGTGTGTGTGTGTGTGTGTGTGTAATTGTTCTCTGCAGGTAAGTCAGCCAGCCTGGGCTAACCTCAGTGACTAGGTGCTTTGACCCTGAGAGGAGGGCTGGGGGTCACAAAGAAATGAGGAGAGGTGAGGTAGGGGCTCCTAGACCACTCAGGGACCCAGATGTGGGGCAGGTGGGTCCCCCCAGAAATGACCAGAAGAGGATGGAACAGAAGTGAGCCTCTAGAGTAACGGGGAACAAGTGAACTCCTCTGCTGTGGGGCAGGTGAGGGGCCAAGCAAGCTGGCCGCGTGGGCAGAGCTGGCCGGCAGGAAGCTGCAGGTGACTGGACACCCGGCGTGGCCTGGCCTTCACTGTTGGGATGTTTTGGTCCCACCCCTGCCCCATCTCAGATTGCAGAGGCTGTCCTGCTGGGACCCCGGCCTGGTGGCTAACGGTCTTAACTCCACACTGTCCCCCACTGTGGAAGCCGGGTCTGGGTCCTGGCCCCCTGCCTCTCTCTTCTCAGAGCTGCTTTAATTGTTGATGGAAAGTACGGGGACATTCCAACCTCCTGTGTGTCAACAGTGAGGCCAAACACAGGGCTTTTCTCTGCCTAGTTTAAACTAGGTCTTAAGACCTGCCTCAGCTCTTAAAAACCAGTTAGAGCGACCTGGGCCCTAGGCCGGGAGACAGGCAGGGAAGGGCCCATGAGCTGCTGCCAACTGGGCTTCTTTGATGGTGAAACGTGTTTTGAGTGCTCAGCACCGGTCTCTGGGGCCCCTCCTTTTCCAGCAGTAGTTCTCGTTCAGGGTGCATTTGTTTTGTGTGTTTCTTTTCCTCGTGGAAATGTGTGCAGGAAATGTCTGGGAGCCTGCAGTGCCACCTGGCTACTCCGTCCCTGCTCACCCACCCCTCCAGCTTCCCTGTCCCCAGTGCAGTGTCCTATGGTTGGGGCGGGGGTTTATGGCTGAGGGCCACAGCCTCGTTCTGATGCCAGGAAGTCCACGTTCCACGGCCAAAGGGGTGTATTGTAGAGCCTGAGGCATCTCCTGTGTTGTGTGGCCCCTCACTTGGCTCCCGTCTGGCTCCTTGAGCCTGGGTGTCCTGATCTGGGGGGAGTGGCCTCTTCTGACATGCGAAGGATCCCTGGTGATGCAGTGGCTGAAGCCCTCGCTCATAACCGATCTGTGGTTCTCTTTGGGAGAAACATGTGGCATCTGCTTCCGGACGACGACAGCCGTGGGGACCCTGTGGGAAGTCTGCTATGTCTTGTCGTATTGCTGTGAGTTGGGGTGCACTCAGCAGCAGTGGGTTTGGTTTTGTGTGAGTTGGCCTCTGATACCGTGGTCACTGATACTGTCCCATCCAGGGTGCAGTCAGGCCTGGAGACTGCGTGCAGACTCAGCCCTGACCACTGAGCTGACCTGCCACTGTCCCCTACCGTGTCTTCATTCTTCACTGGGGACCTTAACTAGAAATGAGTGCGCAGAGCCTGGGGAAGTGCAGTGACACCCCATGGACCTTACCCGGAGTCCTGGCGGCACAGAGTGCCAGCTGTCGGCCGCTAGGTGAGACGTTGACAGTGGGCACCCACCCACTGAGAGGTGCCTTGGAAGAAAAGCCAGACTCTTCTAACAACCACTGGAAACACGTGGACATCCTGCTCTGCAGCGTGTGGGCATCAGGCTCCATCTCCATGGCCACTAGTCAGGCTGGTCCATGGTCTGTCTGAACACTGCTGACCCAGGAGTGTGTGTGTGTCCCTGGTCAGGCTGGTCTGTGTGTGTGTCTGTCTGAACCCTGCGGACCCGGGAGTGTGAGTGTGTCCCCGTGACTCACAGACTCCTCCTTCGGCTCAGCCACTGTGCGGCTCTCCCGCCTGCCGTGGCCTGGAAGGAAATGACCACAGCGTTACCCATCTCAAAGCTGCTGGGGACGGTTCCTGTGAGCGCAGACTTGCCCAGCAGGCCCACAGCAAACCCGAGCCTGCACCCAGCTCCTGCTCCGACCTGAAACCCTCAGGATAAGCAACACCATCCCAGTGGCTTGTGATCCTGCCATTTGTCGCTGTTTCTTCATTTCTCCTAAAACCTGCCCTTTGCTTTCCTTTTCCAGCTCTCCTACCTGTGCAGACCCTCCAGCAGCCAGCGGGTGTGTGTGTGTGTGTGTGTGTGTGTAACCCCACACTGCCTTGCATGACACCCTGCCCATGCTCCCCTGCGCACACCCCCCCCCATGCACGCCCCCTGCACACACAGGCTCCTACTCCCCCTCCCTGGGGCCCTCCTTGTCTCCAGAGCCCCTGGGTGGTGAGTTCCTCTCTCCCAGAGTATGCAGGGCCCAGCTACCTCTGGGTCCACTTCCTCCACCGTCCATGGCTACACTGTGGCTCCTCCAATCACAGCAAGGAACTGTGTGCTCAGGTCCCCGGGGAGACACGTGCTGGGGACTGTCCAGCAGGAAGCAGCTGGTGGCAGTGTGTGGTTTACCTTAGGGAGCCACGTGGCCCCAGCGATTGGCAGTTATTGCTAGCCTATAAGTTGGGGCATCGAGCCCCCTGGAGAGGCCTGGAGATCTGCTTCTGTAAAGATTTACAACAGAGCCACAGTTGATTGGATCCCACCTCAGGGCAGCCCTACACTGGGCTTCTGAGGCTTTTATCTATGTGAAAGAAGGCTGGCCATCCTTCTCCCACGTGATGTCAGGTGGATTCGAACCACTGACCTTTTTGGCTAGCAGCCCAACATGTAAGGCACTGCACCTGGGAAACTGCAAGGAGCAGTTCCTGTTTGAGACACAGAGGCTGCACCAGGAGCCAAAACGGACTCCAGGGACAGCAGGGGGTCGGAGAGAGAAAAGGGGGCATTGAATACAGAGGTTCATGCTGTATGGGAGACACGGTTCACTGAAGCAGTGACTGCACATCTCTAACACGGCGCTGGGCTGCAGCCTGATGGCACGCTCGGAGACATGACTCCCCAGGGGACAGAGGAGCCCGGCTCCCTCCGTGAGGTCAGGCCAGCCCGCTCCCGGCGAGCAGCTGTGTTGGGCTGCCGACTCCATCAGCCTCTCTGCGTTCTGCTTGCCAGTGTCCAGAGGATTAGGAACACCGTCCAGGCATCGTGCCTGCGATTTCATCCTTTACTCCATTTCCTTCATATTGCAGTGGGGGTCTAACCAGGTCCAAGGATGACATGACAAAATTCCGGGTTTGCCTGCCTCCTTAACAATCTGGATTCATAAATTTTTATTTAGCAAGGACCATTTTTCCGAATAACCATTGTAAGCGAGCCGTTGGAGATCGGATTGCATGCCGTTGACAGGAAGGAAACCTCTTCTCCCCTTCCCCCACGTCTCGATCCACCTGTATCTCTGACGTCTGCTGAGAGCAGCCTGGTGATGCAGTGGTTAAGCATTCAGATATAAACCAAAATATTGAAACCCCCAGCACCTCCTCCCTGAAGAAAAAGGAGCTGCCTGCTTCCAGAAAGATGTCAGCGTTAGAAACACTGAGACTCTTCTGCTCTCTCCTCTAGAGAGATGGGGGCTCAGAGCAGACCCTGTGGAAGGCAGTCATCTCCACGTTTTCCCTCTCTGTCTGTCTCTGTCTTGCCCCCCCCCGTTTCTCTCCCTCCACCTTTCCTTCTCCCTCTGTCTTTCTTTGTCTCTCTGTCTCTCTCCACTGATCCCTCTCTCTGTCTCTGTTTCATTTTTTTAATTTATTATTAATTTCAATGAAAATTTACAGAGACTTTGGATTTCCATTCATTCATTGTTGTGCTTTTCTCCCCGCCCAACCCTCCCCCCAGTACACCCTCCTCTTGGAAAAGTAAAAGACAAATTCTTCTGTTGTTTTACAAACCCTTCCCAGGTCCTCTCCACTATGCAGCCTTCGCTCTGGACTCCTGTCATGACAGTAATACCTAATCACATATCCCTTTTAAACAGTTTTCTTCCTCATCTGTTTCAATGCAGTATACATTATTGAACCCATCTTTCTCAGTCTCCCCCCAACCCTGAGGTCAGTCCTCTTTTACAACAGTGGCACCATGCAGTATTTGTCCTTTTGTGACTGAGATACTTCACTCAGCATAATGTCCTCCAGGGTCACCCATTTTGAATAATGTTGCATGAGTTCCTTGTTTTTCAATGCAGCGTAATATTCCACTATGTGAATATACCAGAGATTCTCTATCCAATTGTTTGTTGATGGGCACTTGGGTTGTTTCCAACTCCTTGCTATTGTGAACAAAGCCATGATAAACATGGGTGTGCATATATCTGCTTGGATGTTGGTTATGGTCTCTTTGGGGTATATTCCCAGTAGTGGAATTGCTGGGTCAAATGGTATCTCTATTTGTGTCTCTGTTTCTGTCTCCACTGATCCCTCTCTCAGTCTCTTTCTCTCTCTCCCCAGCCCCTCCGTGTTTTGCTCTGCAGTGCTGTCTGCCCTGAGCCTGCCCGCATGCCTTTTATGGACTGTTTCAGGTCATGCTCATCTTCCTCAGCTTATATTTCCAGGGCTTCCTAGGGACTCGGAGACAGGAGGCCACAGGGCCTGTCCTGCCTCAGGCATCTGTCCTGACTCGACATCGGTCCTGATGGTGGGCTTTCCTCCTAGGCTTTGGTGCCAGATGAGAGCAGCCTTGGGGGCGCTCGGCGTGTCAGTGCCTCCGGCTCCCATGCTGTAAGGCGGTTTCTGTGTCTCTGTGGTCCTCTGTCCTCTCCTGTCCCCTGCATGGCCCGGGTGTGTGATGACACTGTTCCAGGTATGGGAGGTGACTGTCCATTGTGGGCGGGGACCCTCAGTCCAGGTCAAGGCTCCCAGAGGCAGCTTCAGCAGACACAAGCCTACATTCATAGCCCCCTCCCAATCTGGCATCGAGCCCACACTCAGTGTAAGGGTTCACTGAGCACTCTGGTGATTTTCCTTTGGAAATTCTTTGACTGCAGAGTGATTTGATGTTAGTCATTTATCATTTTTTCCCTCCACTCATGATTCCTCGTGAGCAGTCCTCCCCAGCTAAGGCAGCCTGACCTGCAGTTCTTGTTACCAGGGAGACTTTCTGCCTGGTATATGTAACAAGTAATTAAGTTTGTCATAGATGTAGTTTTGTGGGCATCTGATGAAACAGTGGTGTGAGAGATGGCGTGGACGACACAGGATAGGGCAGGGTTCAGACTTGTTTGCAGGGCACTATGAGTCGTAGTCGACTTGACAGCACCTAGTAACAACAATGGCAGTTAAGCCACTGTTAATTCTCCATTGCATGGCTGACAGAGTGGAGGCCCTTCCGATCAGTACTCCTCTGGCCTGGCTGTTGTTTGTGGGCTGTGGGGGGCTTGTGCGTGACTCGTGTGAGAACCAGTCGGTGACGTGGTGGCTGGGTCATCACTAAGGCTTGCTTTAACCAGACGGGCCACGGACAATTCCCTAAGAGAGCAGGGTTGTCCAGGGCATTAGATAGGTGGTCAGTAGGAACTTGAGTGGTACAGTAGTTACGTGCCCAGGTGCTGTGCAGAGGGGTGATGGTTCAAACCCACCCACCAGCCTCCAGGGACAAAGTCCTGGTCCTCAGCTCTAGAGAAGGGGTCAGCCTAGACTCCCTGTGGGGCCACTTCGCTCTGTCACAGGGCAGCACTACAAGCTGACCTCACACCATCGTTAGTCAACAGGAGCCTGGTCAGCACATGTGCCCTGAGAGTGACCACACCCTGCAGCGCCACGGAATAGAAGCCTGGCTGCTCTCTGCTTCCATAAAGATTCTAAACCAAGCCTCTATCAGGCCGATTCCCACTAGTGGTGGTCCTGTGGGGCAGACCAGGGCTGCCCGAGGGAACACGTCCACCTCCAAGGCCTCAGCAAGTGCTGCTGGCTTAACCTGGACACCCTGAGCCCTGAGGGGGGACCAGCACCCCTCCCAGGAGTCCCTGGGCCCCACCGCACTGGTGGCACTCTGCACCTGAGCACCACTGGCTGGGAGTTGGGGGACCTGGTGGAGGTGAGCTCGCAGAGCCTCTACCCCTAAACCAAGCAAGTTGTTGTTATTGTTGTTGTGTGCCGTCAAGTTTCCTGTGACCCATAGTGACCCTGTGTACATCAACTCTGAAGCCTGCCCTGTCCTGAGTCAGTCTCACTGACTCCAACACACCTACCCCCATTGCCCCAGTCATTGTATCTATCCATCTCATCTGGGGTCTTCCTCTCCCGCACTGTCCCTCCACCCTTCCGAGCATGATGTCCTTCTCCAAGCATTGAGTGACACAGAATGTTCATGTCCACACAATGGAGCCCTCCACAGGAGGGGACGTTTCTGCTTCTGCCCTTTCATCCCCAGTGCCAACTCCAGTTGATCACATCATTCTCAGGCCTCGCCCAGAAAGGCCTGAATGCCTCCTGCCTGGTATCACAACCCCGTGAGAGTCCTGTCCCATCCAGGGCTGATGTCAGGAGTTCAGCTTGAATTTGAACCACAAAGGCTTAGAATGTAATCCCATGCCTGCCGACACGGCCCCACGTCTCACCTGCGGTGTGCGTGCACCTGCAGTACCTGCAGTTATAAGTAAGAAAGAAACACAGAGACAAATTGGGTTTGGGGAAGCTCCTCACCTTCGCCTCAAAGCCTCTCCTGCCTTTGAGGGTTTCCACTTGCTAGTGTTTAGGATCTAACATTGAGACCGAACATCCCAGTGTGGGGTTGTGGGGCAGGGAGTAGGGGAGACTGTCCTTAGGGCAGGAAATTGTCCAGAAGCTGAGACTGGCCCTAGTGGTGCACACAGCCCCCTGTACCTGCATTGAAGACAATGCCTGCAGGGTCCATGTCCACTGATCACAGGGTGAGGCAGGGAGGCTGCTATGTGCGTCCCGTTCAGGTCAAACTTGACTGCTCTGCCCTACGCCTTTACTCAGAGAAAAGTTAGGATTTTCATAAAATAGCATGAGGTGTCCTAAGGACTGAAACTAAGTGACTACAGATCAACACTAGAGTCCACGCGGGCACATACCTGCAGTGGTGGGGTTAGCCTTTTCCAGAAGGGAGAATGTACGGACTGACGGAAGATGGGGTGGAAAGGTGGGAACATAACGGGGTCAGAGTGGGTGAGAGAAGGGGTGAGTGATGGGTGGTTGAGTAGACATGTGGATAGATAGATACATGGTTACAGATACATAGTTACAGATACATACATAGTTACAGATACATACATAGTTACAGACAAGGTTATACTATGGCGAATGATTAAAGACAAAATCAAGGGTTTAATGTTTGGTTTTTTTAAGCATACATATCAATGCCTCAACCTTAAATCTACCGTGAGAAAGTTTTGCACTGGTGACAGTTGTCTGTCCTCAGTCCCTGGGTTGGGAAGCAGCTCAGATTCCTGTCACTAGGGGTCGTCTTCTGTGTACACACGAGGTGTGACCCCACTGTGTGTTCACTTTCTGTGCTGTGAGGACCCCAGCTCCCCTGTGTTCTGGCCTGGTGGGCATTTCTGTGGGCATGTGCTGGGCACAGCCTCGTCCTAAGGGGATTCCTGTTCTTATCTAACCCTCCTGTCCTTCCCTGCACACGTGTGACTAACTGGCCCCAGCCGGGTGTCTCCTGCCGTCCGCCCTCACTGACCTGTCCTTTGTTTCTGTCCGCGTCCCGTGCTGCGGGGGGCCCCCGTACAGCCCTCGGAGTACAGCGGCTACCTCAACTCCAGCTCCCGTGCCTCCTCCAGGGCCAGCTCGGCCCGCGCCAGCCCCGTGGTGAGTCTGCCCCAGCCCTGTCTCCCCCATCACACCCCCACCTCCTTCCCCGTCTGTAGTCCCTGCTACTCGGTTTGTTCCAAGGCCCCCCAAAACAAACAAATATACAACAACCGTAAACCTGGGATCAAGTGGGAAGGTTTCCTGTGATTGTTCCATGGAGTCTGGAGAGCTCAGCGTGCAGGCATACCTCGTCTTACCACGCGCCACAGGTTACATTTTTGAAGAATCAAAGGTTTGGGACCCCTCTGCCTGGAGCAGTCTGGGGTGCCGTTTTCTCAACGTCGTGCTCACTCCACACTTCTCTGTCTGGTTTTGGTGATTTTTTGGTCAAATGCATTTCACTCTTTTGCGTCATGCAGACGGCAGTAGAGTGTATCTGAAACTTTTCTCTGCAAACGAGAAACCAAACCTTCTTGCTCCTCTTGGTCATGTCGCGGGCTACATTATGGTGTCTGGAAGTGAACCCGCGACGTGGCCGAGGCGTGCCTGCATTGCTCTTCAGCAGTCTGGTCGGGATCGCATGCATCTCTGAAGGGGCAGCCGTGAGCGGGTCGGAGGTGGGGGCATGGGAGGTGTGCCCCTGCATGACCAGCTTGTGGGCTTGGGCACTTTGTGGGGTTCTGTTTGTTTGCTTTGGGTTTTGTTGGGGGGGGTTATGATTGTAAATGTGAAGATTAACTTTTCAAGTGTGTGTGAAATGTTACCTATTAACCCTGGGTGGTCTTAAACAGCATGTCAGCTGCCTCGCTGACCCCTCCCTGGTGGGTCTCACTGTCAGACCCAGACTGTCACTGCCATTAGTGCCCAGGCCTCTTCCCATTCACAGGCTCTTGTCTTTTCCGTTGTAATTCCCTGCATGTATAGCTGCAGGGACTCCCATGCATGGGTCTCTCGAGGGTCTACACCAGGTTCTGAATGGGGGCTTTCAGAACCGGTCCAAGTCCAAGCCAAACTCCCTGCCGTTGAGTTAGTGTGAGTCTCAGGACCCTGGGGTGGGGTGGACTTCCCAGCGGGTCTCCGATGCTGAGACTCTTCAGGGAAGTGGACTGCCTCCTCTTTTCCCCTTAGAGGGGCAGGCGGGTTTGAACTGATGACCTTTTGATCAGCAGTGGAATGCTCTAACCACAGTGCTACTAAGACTCCTTCAGGACTTGACTGAGCTATCTTTCATTTCAAACTGGTAGCAGCTGTAGTTGGGTGGATTTTTTTTTTTCTCTCTCTCTCCAAGTCTGCCACTCATTTAACACAGGTAGGCAGTGGGCACAGGCCAGGTCCTGCAGAGTGTGGGGTCCTCCTGTTCCACACTGGGCACCTCGGGTTGGTTGGCAACTCTGAGGTGATGAGCACTTAGAACTGCAGAGATGGGTCAGAGGTGTCAGGAGGCGCACTGGGCTGGGGCTCCCTGGCCGGCAGCAGAGACAGGCCTGCAGGACACTGCTTGGGCCAGCAGCCAACATGTCCAGCCTGACCTGGGCTCCCTTGGGTAGAGCAGGAAGCCCCTGGAGGGGGTGTCGCAGTGAAGGCCTCCTTCTAGGCTGGGAGCCAGTGGCTGGACCTGGATGTTCCTAGACTTGGAAAGGATCTCTCTGGACAGGACAGGAGCAAGGCCACGGCTCTTTGTGTCCTGGGGAGCCCTGTCCTGGGGGAGGAGGTGGGAGCTCACAATTTCTCCAGGGCCCTACAGCAAGTGTCCCTCTGCCCTCCCACTCTGCCCATGTCACCTCTACTCCACTGTGTTGGGGTCCTCTAAACTACCCAGCCCCTTCCCTTTCTCCGTCTGTTGGAGCCCTGGTGGCCTATGTGTTATTTGTTGAGCTGTTTAAATCTGCCAACAGCTCCAAGCGAGACTTACAGTCTCAGAAAGCTGGTGGACAGTCGCTGTGGGTTACAGTAGACTCAACACCAATGAGATTGGCCTGAGCTGGTGTTTTGCTCCATCTCTACTCTGTCCAGAGATGAAGCATTGTGCTTTGTGTCACAGGAAGGGCACCAGCTAGTCTGGGAGCTGGCCGTTTGTGGACAATGACATGTGTCTGTCTGGGCTCACAGGCTCAGCTCATGCCCAGGGCCCCCTCCTCCTCTCCCGTCTCCCCTCTCCCACTATGCTGACTTGTTCAGGGGCATAGGCACAGCCCCCCTTCCTCGCTGAGATTCTTGTTGAGAATCATCAAGCTTCAACCGACTCATAGCTGACCGTCCAGCAGGTCTTCAGAGGCAGGAAATCGCATGGGAGGAAGTTGCCCAACCGTCTGCAAAGAGCAGCTGGTGCACTCGAACTGTGTACCTTTATGTTGGTAGCACAGTCGCTTCACGCTGAGCCACCAGAGCTCCCTAAACAGAGACTGGGGACAGTGTTCACCCGTGCACTCTGACTTCCTTGTAGAGCTTTACTTTCTAAGAGCTTGCTTTTTCTCTGCCTGGTCTCCACTTAGAAATACCCTGAAGCCCCCCCCCCCTCCAATTCTGGACCCATTCCTTATTGTGTGGCAGAGACTTAAGAAGTGGACGAGTCATTTTCCTGCCTAAATGGATGGCCTTGGAAACCCCAGGGGCAGTTCTGGGCAGTCCAGTGGGGTTACTGCGAATCAGACTCACCACAAAGAAAGGACGTTCGGTTTTCTGAGTTTTGTTTTGGTGCAGAAGCGGGGGCGGCGGGGGGGATGCTGGTCCCTCTCTGGTGCAAGCCTGTTTTAATGACAGGAGATCACTCCCCACCGTTGAGTCAGAACCAGCCCCAGCAGGCTTTCGGAGGCTGTAAACTGTGATCAGCTTGACACCCCCTTCCTCCTGGGGAGCCCCTGGTGGATTTGAGAGAGAGGCACTACCTTTGGTTAACAGTGTTCCTCCCACTGGACCATTTCACCAGAGCTCCCCGACATAGAAGATACATTTCTAAAATATTTAAGTCGTGGCCAGTGTGTTCAATTGGGGTTTCGTCCCTACTTCATGATTCCTAAATGACAAAAGCAAGCTGTGTGGGTGAGTGGAGACACGGGGAACCACATGAACGAAGGCCACAGCCCACCTGCCCAAGCACAGTCACTGCAGGCAGTGCGGGGTGTGGGCAGATGGTGTGTGCCGGCAGTGTGGGGTGCAGACAGTGTGGGGCGCGAGCAGTGTGGGGTGTGGGCAGTGTGGGGTGCGGGCAGTGTAGGGTGCAGGCAGTACAGGGCGTGGGCAGTGTGGGGTGTGGGCAGTGTGGGGTGCGGGCAGTGTAGGGTGCAGGCAGTACGGGGCG